CTCCTGCCTCTCCTCACATGATCATGTTCACTCTGAACTCTCCTGGATGTCTCTGCCTCTGGCTATGCTCTCCCTTTTATCTACAATGAACTTTCTCCTCCACCATACTGGGACCAGTCCTTTCCTTTCTTTTCTTATTTCTTGTTTTTATTCAATCACCTCATCTTTAACATGGATATGAAAGTTTAAGCCATATATGACTTAAAGCCTAGGATATAACTGGTAGCTGTTTTGAACAATATTAACAATAGTGCCAAGCTGTGCAGACTCTAAAAGCTGGCTTGGATTATTATGTGGTTACAGTTCATTCTTGGACGTTGAGTTTGTCCAGAGCAGAAGTCCCACTTTGCTGGTTGATGAGCTCTGGTGAACTTGGTGGATTATGTGGCCCATTCATGGAGATGTAGGCTGAGGGACAGCTCTAGCTTTGTAGTAACCAGTGTGGACCCATGGGAATGGATATATACTACATACAAGGTCCCTCTTACCGTTTTGTTTAGAATCTGCTATTGCAGGATACAAATCCTTTTGTGGGAGATGCAGGTTCTTCCCAAACTAGCAAGGAGCTTGAGATGTCAGGTTAAGGAGTACCTTAAAATTCCTGGTCAGGCCAAGAAGTCTGCCATTTCAAGCTAATTCCCCAGGTGGATCCATTGTACTAGTGTGTCAACTTTCCCCAGGAACTGCAAGGCCCCTTGGGTAGTCTGAGATCATGGGCCCTGGCCACCAATTATGAAGTTGAATCAAATCCTTTGAGACTTTATGACTGGGGAAAACTGAGCTCTGTGTCATGCTGACAACGCTCAACTTTGGCCTCCTTCCTCCTTGCCCCTTGGTTTGATTACTTCCCTAGACCTCAGCTGGTTCCCCATGACTTTTTGGAGTGAAGTAGCTTCCTCTGCAAGCTCATGTCTTGGGAGGGAGGAGGAATTCCCCACTCACCAAGTTGTCTTCCTCTTATGAACCACAGTCACTCTCATGGCCTACCTTCAGCTGAAACTCACCTCGCTGGGTAGGCAGCATTATAGTGAACAGCCATGAGGCTGCTGCTTAGGTGACCAGGGTGAAGTCATTTTGCTTGTCCTTGACTAGAAATAAAACAATACCTTATTTTTGGCATTGTTGTTGTTGTTGTGTATTTCTGTTGTTGTCCTTGATGATGTTTCTACATTAGCTCCCAGAGGCAGGAATGTTAGTAATTATTGTCATACTGAGTTTATAATCTCAAACTTTTAGTGATTATTTTTCATATTTCCCAAGATGAACTAAAATCTTGATTGAAGGCAGAGATGGCACATCTGGCACAGTACACTGAAGGTAGAACTTTCGAGGCAAGTTTAGTCTTGCTGACGTAGTCATAAAGTACCATTAGAAAGTAAAGAAGCACATACAGTGGACCCAGGACCCAGGGTTGACTCTTTTCCATATTTCTCCAAAGTGGTATTTTTCTTTTGCTTTTGTTTCTTGCTTTGTCTCCAGTACTGAGAAGGACCTGTCACATAGTCAGTGCTGAATGAGGGTTTGGTTGACGAATGGCTGCACGGTCTTGCCCCTGTAGGCCTCTGGAGGGTAGGATGTTTGTTCTTGATAATGGAGTGGAATAGGGTGGATTGTATATCCAGGTTTTTGTGGTGTTTTTGCAGCTTAACTGTCTCAGGAGAGGTGATTAGAAGATAAATTCATATATATATATATATATTTAGAATTCATGTGTGTGTTTTTTCTACTTAATTTTTAAATAGTTTTTGAGGATTTAATATATGAGCACAATATATGTTTCTCATACCTACCCTTCCCCACCCCACAGTTCCTGTGTTCTCTTTCCAATCTCCATCTCAAATTCATGTCTTCAGACTATTCTAGAACTATTAATCTTTGTTAATTAAGTCATTTATCTACTTTACATCCCAATCATAGCTCCCCCTCCCTCCTCTCTTTTCAGTCCTTCCCTCCCTCCTCCCTTCCCCCACATACCCCTCCTCCCCTTCTCAGAAGAAGAGAGGCTTCCCACAGATATCAACCAGCCTTGGAATATCAAGTAAGACTAGGTGTATCTTCCTCTATTGAGGTTAGACAAGGCAGGTCAGTTAGGGGAAAGGGATCCAAAGGCAGAGAATGTACTCAGAGACAGCCCCTGCTCCCACTTTTGGAGTCCTGCATGAAGACCCAGCTGCAAAACTGTTATACATGTGCAGAGGGCCTAGGTCAGTCCCGTGCATGCTTTCTGGTTATCAGTTCAGTCTCTGTGAGCCCCCAGGTTAGTTGATTCTGTAGGTTTTCTTGTGTCCTTGACCCCCTGGCTTCTTCAATTCTTCCTCCCCTTCCTCCACAAGGTTCCTCAAACTCTGCTTAACATTTGACTATGGATCCCCTTATCTTTAATAGTGTACGGAGTGGGATCCCACGGCATGCGTCTCAAGCTGGGCCAGTCATTAGTTGGTCCTTCCCTCAAATTCTGCTCCAATTTTTAACCCCTGAGTATCTTTTAGGCAGAATAAATTGTGTGTCTAAGGTTTTGTGGCTGGGTTGGTGTCTTAATCCCTTCATTGGAAGTCTTTCCTGGTTACAGGAAATGGCCGGTTCAGGCTTCATATCCTCCATTTCTGGGAGTCTTAGCTAGGGTCACCCTCATAGATTCCTGAGAGTTTCCATCATTCTTGATTTCTAGCTCATCCCAGAGATGCTGCCACCACAATCCAGTTATCTCTCCTAGTACACTCTCCCTCTATCCTCCTCCTCCACCTTTTCCCCTCTGTTCCTATCCCTCCTCCTCCTCTCCCCAACCCCTTTCCTCCCTCCATCCCCAATGGATATCTAATCTATTCCCCTTTCTGAATGAGATTCAAGTGTCCTCAAATGGTTGTACAATTTTCACTCCCACAAGCCGTGGAGGAGGGTTCCCTTTGCTCCATATCCTCATCAGCATGAGCTGTTGCTTGAGTTTTTAGTCTTAGCCACTCTGGGTATAAGATGGAATCTCAGAGTTGTTTTGATTTATATTTTCCTGATGACTAAGAATGTTGAACATTTCTTTAAATGCTTCTTAGCCGTTAGAGATTTCTCTGTTGAGAAATCTGTTTAGTTCTGTACACTATTTTCTAATTGGGTAATTTGGTTTGTGGATGTCTAGTTTCTTGCATTCTTTATAGATTTTGGACATCAGCCCTCTTTCTCATGTGGGGTTGGTGAAGATCTTTTTTCGTTCTTTAGGCTGCTGTTTTGCCATGTTTATGGTGTCCTTTGCCTTTCAGAAGCTTTTCAGTTTCATGAGGTCCCATTCATTAGTGTTGATCTTAGTAACAGAACTATTGGTGTTCTGTTCAGAAAGATGTCTCTTATGCTAATGTGTTCAAGGCTACTCCCCACTTTATTTTCTGTCAGATTTAGTGTATCTGGGTGTTTCTGTTTTTGTTGTTGTTCTTTGTTTGTTGTTGTTGTTGGCTTAGACTTGAGTTTTGTGTGGGGTGATAAATATGGGTCTATTTTCACTCTTCTAATGCAGACTTCTAATCCAGTTAGACCAACACCATTTCTTGAAGATGCTTTCTTTTCTCCATTGTATAGTTTTGGCTTCTTTGTCAAAAATCAAGTGTCCATAGGTGTGTGGTTTACTTCTGGGTCTTTGATTTGATTCCATTAATCAGTCTTTCTGTTTTTATACCAGTACTGTATGGTTTTTATTACCATTTCTTTGTAGCATAGCTTGAGATCATGGATGATGATACCTCCAGAAGTTCTTTTATTATACAGGATTGTTTTAGGTATTCTGTATTTTTTGTTTATTCCATATGAAGTTGAGTATTGTTCTTTCAAGGTCTGTAAAGAATTGTGCTGGAATGTTGATGGGAACTGTCAATTGATTGCTTTTGGTAGGATTGCCATTTTTACTATGTTAATTCTACCAATCCATGAGCATGGGAGATCATTCCGTCTTCTGATATCTTCTACAATTTTTTTTCTCTCCAAAGATTTGAAGTTCTTGCCATACAGGTCTTTCGCTTGCTTGATTAGAGTTACACCAAGAAATTTTATATTGTCTGTGGCTATTGCAAAGGATGTTGTTTCCCTAATTTCTGTCTCAGCCTGTTTATCATTTGTATATAGGAGGGCGTTTTTATTGGACTTTGTTGTTTGTGACTTTTTTTTATTGGATGTTTTATTTACATTTCATATGTTGTCCCCTTACCCCATCCCTTTTGTGATTTTTTTATTGGACTTTGCTTTTTATAACAGATTTAGAGTCATATCAAAATTGAGCAGATGCAGGATTAAGTAACCAAGGTTTCCAAATTTTGGCAGTTATGAATAAATCTCTATAAACATCAACATCATCAACATATAGAGGATATATATATATATATATATATATATATATATATATATATATGTCTTCTGTTCCTGTACATGCTTAGCCTTATATTTTATGAACACCCTCAGTTGTACACATGTACAAGTCACTGTGTCACTGTTGCCCAGTGCCTATACTTAGTTCTGCTCACATGTTACCAATGACTACTAAAGCTGCACTAAGCATTTTTGTGTGTTTTTGCCACCACTGGAGGTGAAGCCCCATTGGCCTGCATTGTGGCCAGCAGTTGATGTTATCTGTTTAGGGTTCAGCCATTGTTGGAGGTGTATAGAGCCATCTCACTGCTGTGTGTTCCTTTCAGTTTATCTTGTTTAGAATCATTGTGATCAAATTATATAAATACTTTTAAAGTTCCACTATTAGATTTTTTTTTTGATTCTTAAGTCAATGTTTTGTTCTCAGACATGCAGAACAGAAGAAAAGAGGGTAGTTTTGGTGCGACCTTGTTAACACTGTTTAAGGAATACACGCCCCTGAGCATTTACAGGCATACGTAGCTGTTGGCTCCATATGTTTATTTGCTTCTGCTGCTCTAATGGCTTTGGTCCTCTTAACAGTTGACTGTTTAGCAAAACATCATCTTTGCTGAGAAGGTTGGTGCTAACAGCTTCTAAACATCAATGTTTTCCAGGTCCCAAACCAGTTGCCTATCTTCAGCATGGCTTCCTGGCAGATTCTAGTAACTGGGTCACAAACATTGATAACAACAGCCTGGGCTTCCTCCTGGCCGATGCTGGCTTTGACGTGTGGATGGGAAACAGCAGAGGAAACACCTGGTCTCGGAAGCACAAGACTCTTTCAGAGTCTCAGGATGAATTCTGGGCCTTCAGGTATATCACAATTGATTATGACTTGAGTCTGTGTCTTTAGCGTCCTTAAGGCAGACAGGTAAAGTTCAAGAGTGACCCTGAGTTGTATAAAAAGGGGACTGATATCTTTTGAAAAGTTGTGAAGCTTGTCAGGGATTTAAAAAACAATCATGAAAGTAAATTTAAATAAGTGGTTGCATAAGTGATTAGATTCAGTTAGGAAGTCTTTAGCCATTCTTAACATTCCTGGCATGCAGTGTGGGCTGCTAGGTTAAGTCTCAGGCAATCTCCTCATCTCCCCAGTAACACCCACATGTTACATGTTTATTTATTTTATTATTCTCTTTCTCTCTCTTTCTTACTTCTGGCCTGACTAATGAATTGTTGTGTGATACTCGACACAGGATATAAACTGTGTTTGTTTCCTCATCTGTAAATTGGAGATGATAAAGTCCTAGTTCATAATGTCACTGGATCCTGAAGTAAAAGATTCAAAGAAGAGGCCCTCCACAGAGCCTGGGTTATTCTAAGTGCTTTCTGACACTGGGATTGTCACTTCCCTCATCTCTCTCTTTCACACACACACATACAGGCTCACACACTCATGCAAACACACATACACACACACACAGATTCACACAATATACACACAGATTCACACACACAGGCTCACACACACATATACTCACTCATACACCCATGTAGTCTCAACATACACACATTCTCTCTCTCTCTCTCACACACACACACACACACACACATATACACATATATACACATACACACACATACATACATATATATATATATATATATATGTATGTATATATATCCTTTCCCCCTAAGGTACTGGGGAGTATGGGTATAGTGTAGAATAGAGTTTATTTAGTTTATTTAGGGCATGGGAAGGGCAGTTGATAAGGGAGTAGAGGCAGAGAAGGACAGAGAAAGAAAGAGAGAGGAAGAGAAGAAGAGAGGCTAGGCAGGATCGGTGGAGAAGGGGGGTGGGGTGGGGAGAGGGAGAAAGGGTCAGGGAGAAACGAATGTCAGAGAGAAAGGGTAGAGAGAGCAAGAAGGGGCCAAACAGCCCCTTTTAGAGCAAGCCAGGCCTACCAGGCTGTTGCCAGGTAACTGTTGGGCAGAGCATAGAAGGAATGCTAACACAAACACACACACACACATACACACACACACACATGCACACACACCTATCTGGTTAAAAGACTACATCCTAGTGTGCCAGGTATTATAGAAGTTGGTGGTGTAGATAGTTAAAGGTTTGCTTCCCTTTGATAAAACTGGTGTCACCCTGGTCTTGAATCCCAGGAGTGAGAGCTTTTACCAAAAGGCAGTCATTAGAATATGTTTATTGTAACACTGTTTATACCAGTGAATACCTAAATGCACACCAGCAGCAAATTCAGTTAATCAAGTGTGGCGTATCCACGTAATAAGATGAGAATAAACATCTACAGTCCCATACCAGCACCGAGGAAGCCAGGAATGAAAGGAGATATGTGAATCCCATTAACAGGCAATGTGTGCAGTGAATCAAGCTAATTTGTAATGTAAAACCTTAGAGGTGCTACCTTCAGGAGGTAGAACTTGGTGGGAATTCTGGGGACTTCCTTGGTCCTTGGTCAGTGTAACTCATATAGGATTGATTATTCAGCCATGTTCAGTGTGTGCTGACACACCTTGTGCTAAGTTGTCTGTGTGCTGTTCTATATTTGTGTGCTATTTCAGTTAAAGAGTTCTTTGTTTTTTGGATTATAGTTTTGATGAGATGGCAAAATATGACCTACCTGCTTCTATTAACTACATTTTGAATAAAACTGGCCAAGAACAACTCTATTATGTTGGTCATTCTCAAGGATGCACCATAGGTATGTATACAATGAAGAGGTCAAAGGCAGTGTGTCTTACACGTGAGATACACAAAAGTGCTGTTACTTCAAATACTGGTTTTTCTCTTTTTAAATGCCAAGCAGAAATCATGACTAGGGCAAGGGATTTTCAGTAATAATCTATAGAAATTCAGAATCTAGTATAAATTGATAAGTATCTTAAAGTTGAAAGAATTGATGTAAGCTATATTTTAGGTGTTTTCCAGTTTAAGGAACATAGGAATGTGAGAGGGGAGAAAAATGGGAAGTTTTCTAGTGTCAGAAACCATAAAGAGTCAATAACAAAGTATGCTTTAAATGATAACTGCTCCGGGCTGGGGTTCGTCTCAATGTAGAGAACTTGCCTAGCTTGTTTGAATCCCAGGGTCTAACCTGTAGCTCAACCCAAAATAGCTACATTAGTAATCAAAGAAATTAAGTTAAGTCAAACATAACTAACTACAAGGATGACAGCTCTTACTTCATAGTTTTGGGAAGCTATTTGTGTGTTTTGTTCATGTTATTATAAAACTAATATGTTTCCATGTGTGTGTATGTTTGTGTGTGTGTGTGTGTGTGTGTGTGTGTGTGTGTGTGGCAAGTGTAGTGTGCAGGCCAGGTCTTAGCTCTTTCTCAGGCATTGTCTGTCTTGTTCTTTTGAGATAAAGTCTGGGCACTAAATAGGCTAGACTGGCTGGCCAGCCAACCTCAAAATATTCACCTGTTTGTGTCCTCCCAGTGCCAAACTAAAAGTGCAGACCACCACGCGTGACTTTGTGACATGAGCTTTAGGGATTAAACTCGGGTTCTGTTTGTATGGCAAGCACTTTATGGAGTGAGCTGTCTTCTCAGTTCAATATGATTTATTTTTATTAAAAATAAAATTTTACTAAGTTTAAAAATTGCAATCAGCATTAAATTTTAATAAGCAGGTTTCTCTAATGAGAGCATGGAAACATATTTCATAATTTCTTAGATGCTGATATTTCATGTTGATGAGCTTCTTGTTCATGCCACATGTTGCTCATGGAATACATTCTGCAAGGAGACTCACAAAGTGAAAAGCTTGAATGTTAACATGTTATTAGATTGCTCTGCCTTCCAGAAAATAGAGCTGCACGCTCATTTTTAACAATACTTCTTTTATGACTAGGTGACTTTTCTGTCTTGTTTCTAAAGTGTTCTAGGGACAAGTAGCATGGGACAATCTAAGAGAAGTGTAAAAGATACTTTACAGCAAGGGGAGTCTAAGTGTGGCTTTTTGAGTCACTGGTGTTCCGGTCTGCAAATTAGGGATGGAAAGAGGGGGAGGAGTAGAAATGTGGGGCGGAGCTGTAGAGGTTCACGTTGCCATGGGAACAGGGAAGCCTTTTTGGTTCTCTTACCCTGGACTTCTTTCCATGCATTTTGTAGGCTTAAATCTGGAACCAAATTCAGTGTTTCTGAGCCAGAGTGTTTTAAGAACTCTGTTCAAGTGTACAAGGGAAGTGTCACTTGTCTAGTTTACTGGGCTTCCTCTGTAGTGTACAGTGGCTGACCTTTCTCATGGTTTTCTCTTTTTTTGAGGAAGTACTAGAGGATCTATCTAATTTTTTCTTTTGCCCTGCAGGTTTCATAGCCTTTTCACAGATGCCTGAGCTGGCAAAGAAGATTAAAATGTTTTTTGCCTTGGCACCTGTGTTGTCCCTCAATTTCGCTTCAGGCCCGATAATCCGTTTGGGATGGTTGCCAGACCTTCTTCTTGAGGTACTTGGGTCCCACCCATTTCGCTTCTCCTCAGCCACTCTCTCCTTCTCTCCTGAGCTGAAAAATTGCTCATTAGAGGAGAATCGGCAGTGTCCTCTCTGTACACACTCTTACTGGACCAGTGGGTATACTTGCCTTCACCTCCTCCCTCCCCCTTACAGAAGCAGCTAGGGAGCCATCTCATTAAACCGACACTCAGATGCATGTTTTCATAGTTAATATGCTAGTCCGGCTCCCTACCCACCACACAAGGAGGGTACAAGGAAGTCTGAAAAAGTACCTTATGTGTTCAAAGAGCTGCATTTCATCCATAGGGCATGTGGGTGTGCAGGAGTGGACAGGAGGTAGGAGACAGGAAATATGCCATTCCTATGTGCCTGTCCCTAGCCATGCTGAACATGATCTAGGACATTATCTTAATAGAGCATATTTTATAATATGACCTTTAAGCACATTAGTGCTTAGCCCTAGAACTGCAACTCCAGGCTGTATTCAAAGGGGAAAACAGCACTCGTGAGAAGGAGTGTAAGTTCTTTAAGTCCTTTATTCCTCTGTTAAGTATTTTATATAGACTCAAATGCATGTGAAATCCTATACAGCATTATCTACAGGCATATGCTGTCTATGGCTTTTTTTTTCAATGTTTTGGTTGTGAGCCTAACCTTTAATGGCTGAGCCATACTTCCAGCCCTGTAATGGGTTTTTGACAATGAGAAACCGTGCATTGGATTGTGGTCCCAACAGATTATAGTGAAGCTGAAAATTTCCTATCGACTAATGATATCATAGCCTAACATATAATTCACAATTTGTGGTGATGCTAGTATACAAATATTTATGGTGACAAGAGATATAAAAGTGTCAGGCATATAGTTTTGCATATTATTTAATGTCATAGTTGGTTGTCACTGCCAACTAGACACAGCCTAGGGTCAGCTGAGAAGAGTCCTAATTGAGGGGTTATCTAAATCGCATTGACTTGTGGCGTGTCTGTGGAGGGTTGTCTTGACAATTCATTGATACAGGAGGTCCCAGGCCACTGGGGGCAGTGTCATCCCCATGCAGGTTGTAGAAGAAAGCTGCCTAAGCATTAGCCAGTGTGTGAATCAGTGAGAATCTCAGTGGTTCCCACCTTAAGCTCCTTGTCTGACTTCCCTCAATGATGGAGTGTGAGCTGGATGTGTAAGATGAAATACAACCTTTTCTCTCCCTATTTGCTCTCGGTTAGTGTTTTATAACAGCAACCAAAAGCAAGCCAGCATAATGTCATACTTGTTAATATCTATCACCGATTTATTTATATCCTTGGTCTTGCAAAAAAATGCTTATTGTAAAGACATGTGGCACCATGAGACAGCAGTGGACTCATGACTCTCACATTCACCGTGTCTTTTGATTGTGTCACGTGGTTGTGTCAAGTGATTGACCTGTATCACCTAGGATTGTGTAAGGATATTACTGTGTGATGGTTGCACAATGATAACTTTACTTGAAAACTTGCTTCTTAGTACTTCTTCGTGATATTAAGTGACTCATTACTTCAAGGGAGTTGTAATAAAGCTCCCTCTCTCTGGCCTTTTAAAAAAGTCTTTCACAGGAAGTATGTACGTTTCTCTGATCTCAAAACCTGACAGTTACTGAGGTGGAAGGATCATAGTGTTATATTTCATTGTCTTTTAAACCTCTACGCAGTAGGTTTTGGGTTGTAAAGAGCTACAGTAATTTAGTCAGACTTTTGTGGTAGGAATTCATTGTACCAGCAAACATGCTGATAAAACTTGGTTTTGACTGTCTTTGCTAATAGTACTGATTTGTATTACAAACACTTCAGAGATTACAAGTACTTCCTGACAACTAGGTGACCTCCCTAATGCCTTCTTTAGAACTACTCAATTTGGAGGTCTTTTCCTATAGACTCCACATATGAATTTACACACATAGAGCTACACCAAGAGGGATTATGTTGCAGATTGGAAAACAGACTTTTTTTTTTTTCTTAAGGGAGGGAAAGGGAAGCTTGGCGTCACTGTCCTGGGCCAGAACAATAGAAAGGTTAGTGGTTACATGTAGTGCTGAGCTCAGCAGGGATGTTCGGTTCTGTCACAGTTGTTGATATTAACCTATCGTCCACTCAGAGGCAGACAAGCGAGCCGAATGTACGGCTGCATTCATTTGCGTCTACAGCTTCGGCATACTATTTGCTAGCTTCTCCAAGCAAATATTGGGGCTTGTAGAAGTATCATTCTAGTTTCTGCCTTCACCAACAGTCACTGTCTTCTCCGTATACGTGTCCATATTTGTCATTTCTCTCCTTTAAAAGGATACTTGAAGGTCCAGCCTCTGTCCGAAAAGACCCAATCTCCAAATAATGAGAGTCTTAAATACAGACAGTTAAAACATAAAGTTGGCCTTTTAAGGGGTCGTAACACAACCCACAACATTTCCAATGTAGATATTTGAGTTTTCTATTCTTGCTTGTTCTGGAGTTAGTGCATGTAAGCAAGATGGGAAAGGGACAGACAGATCTGAGTTCCATAGAAGGAAGACCTGTCCCCTGTCCCACAGTACATGAAGATCTGCCTGGAGAATGTAGTGACCGTCCTGGTTATCCAAGTGCACAGATTCAGTTGATGATTGGTTAGGGACAATGTACATTGAGAATTGGAAAACTCCTTTTACAAAGAGCCAGAGAGCAAGTGAATTTGGCCTTGTGGGCCAAGCGGTTTCTGTGGTTGACTATCCGTCTGCAGCCAAGGATAATTCACAGACAAGTACTGTGGGTGTACTCCAGTAAAACTTACAGAACCACATGTGGTGCTGGAGGCAGGGCAAGTGAGGAGTAATGAATTGTCTAATGAGTTCAGAGTAATTGTTTAATGGGCACAGATGCAAGGATTCTGAAGGTGGATTGTAGGGATAATGGCACAAGCGTGTATGTGCTTGCCACCGAATCGAACAGTTAAAAAATCATACAGATGATACATCTTATGTGTTTTACCATCACAAAATATTTCATAATAAATTAACAATAATCATGCATGGTGGCTCACAGCTAAAAATCTCAGCCTCTGGAAGACTGAGGCAGCAGGATTTCCATGAGTTTAGGGGAAGCCTGGGCTATATAACAACTGCTAAGCCAGTCAGAGCTATACAAACAAACAAACAAACAAACAGAGAGTAACCCACCTGTAGGGGGCTGGATTTGGCCCATATTAAACTAGAGGCAAACACACTTAGTTGAGGCCTCAGGATCTTCCTAGAAGTCCTGTTAGGGAAGAGCCCATCAATGAATGGACATGGTCATCTCCCTTTATAATAGTCTACTATAAACTTACTTAGCTTTCTGTATCTTTCTTTTCATTGTGGGGACTTGTCATGTGTCTCTAAGCACATCTGATTTAGTGTATCTCATAGCTTTCCTGTTTTGAATGTTGGTGCATTGCCATTGTGTTCCGGAGGCCCCTGTGGAGATCTTTGTATGCTTGTACTTATGAAGGGATGTGATGCTGGAACATCAGGTTGAAATGCTGACCCATTCTTGGGTGTCTTTGTATTTTCAGGACATGTTTGGACAGAAGCAGTTTCTTCCTCAGAGTGCGGTGGTGAAATGGCTGAGCATTCACGTTTGCACTCACGTCGTCATGAAGGAGCTTTGCGCAAATATCTTCTTTCTGATATGTGGCTTCAATGAGAAGAATTTAAATATGGTACGTAGTTATTATCTATGGATGTGCTTATCTGTATGAGAGATGCAGACCTGGACTCAGCACACATTAGAGTTTCATTTGAGAAACACAAAAATCAGCTTTAGCAGATAGTCCCGTCTGCTGCTGCCTTTGGGCTCGCTCCTCTCAGCTTCCTACACAGAACCTATATGGAAGCAATCAGTGAGTGGATCTGTCACAAGTCATAATATTTATATAGCATTGATGCTTGCAGTATGTTTCTATTGTTGAAAATATTTAATCCTAATATGGGGGTCTCTACCCCACCTTTGACCATTTAGTTCCCAGATAAAAGACACCGACCTTTTATATTTATTACAAGCTTCAGTCAGCACAAAAGCTGGGCAGATATCTGCCCTCTATGCTATTATGTCTGTTTCCCAGCCAGTAATCCCATTATATAATTTGCCATATTTCACCTGGGCTGCTCTTCACTCCAATTAGCCAACCCACATGACCATTATTTTATGACTCACCTAACCTATGGCGGCTTTCTCCTCTCTTCACTTCTTCTTCTCCCCCTCGAGGTTGTCCTTTGCCAAGCCTGGGAACCATAAACCCCACCTATGTGTCTTCTGACCAACTATTGGCTGTCAGCATCTTTATTCACCAATCAGAAATACCTAGGGGCAAAGTCACATAGCATCACTTGTGTCTAAATGGTGTGTACTGTACATAGCATCGGACCAAACCCTAACATGTTTCTTTTAAAAATGTGTGTTTAAGTCTGTAGTGGCTATATACACGTATTTCTGTTTCTTATGAAGTGCAAATCTCTGGTTTATGTTTCTAAATGTATTTGTGTCTTAGAATGTTGAATTTTGAAAATAGGTTTGAAAATTCTGGAGTAAAGCCAGGCGTGGTGGTGCATTTCTGTGACTCCAGCACATGGGGAGCTGAGTCAGGAGGGCCATGAGTTCAAGTCTGAATCAGATCATTTCCCCCACAAAACAATCTGCAATGAAGGCAGTAGAGACTTTTAAAAAGTGATATTTTTATTTTTCCTAATATTAAAGGAAGGCATAGTATTTAAAAGTTTCGCATTTTAGGGAAGCATGAAGAAGATAAGAAATGACCCGTGGTTTCAGCCTGTTCCCCTTTGCACTTACTCCACTACTGCCTTTCCTTCCTAGGTCCTCTGCAGATGTGGACATTTTTATTGGATATATTTGTAGTCAGATGTATTCTGTTCTCTGAGAGATTAACAGTCTGAACAACGGTGTTTAGATTTGTATTATTTTATCCTTTGAAGAGAAAAATATCATCTTAACATTGTTTTCTAATTCATCACTCTCATCTTCCAGTCTAGAGTGGATGTATACACCACACACTGTCCTGCGGGATCTTCTGTGCAAAACCTGTTACACTGGAGTCAGGTAAGCATACCAGGGGTACCGTTGGGCTCATGCGAAGTTAGCATTTGGTAAAGTTGGGATTGGACAAGCCATGGATCCTCAGGGCATCGTTCTGTATGCCTATTCCAAACAGAAACACTAGAGCAGGTCTGTATTTTTTCCCTACAATTATCAGTGCTTATCACTGGCGTGGTGCCGCTTTTGGTATCTTCCATGATAAACTCGGAGTTACGCATGGGTTCATCGGACAGTTATCAGGGTGGAATTGTTTCTTTCTTCTCTCACAGACTTCCTTCTCCTTTATTTCCATTTCAGATTTATATACCATCCCTTTCCTATGCCCCCTTCCTTGTCCCTCCTTATTTTTTAATTGCATACTGTATTTGTTTTATTTCATGTTTGATAAACTATGGTTTTCTGGGGACAGAAGCTGTCATTTCAGCAAGGACCCATGAACACAATGTGCCTGGAACATCAGTGGACAAACCAGAGCCGTTGCAATCATGTGTGATAATGAGGGTCACTAAGCTTAAAATAGAATTTTGGCCATTTTATCACATCCGCGATGCATGTCAGTTCCAGAGCATTTGGAGTTCACATACAGATAAAATAGAAAAGTGTCTTCAAATGGAAATAAAATTATTCTAATAATCTCATATAGAAAGTAAGGGCACATTTGAGGTAAGAAATGTCTCTACATTTGGGGTGGGAAATATCTCTGAGTTTGCTCTGTGCCTCTTGTTGAATTATTTCAAAAAGAAGCAGCTATAGATAATGTGACGTTAAAGAGGATTACGTATTTCCTGCTATGGCTTTACAACTTGCTTTCGTTTTCGCACTTGACAGTAATGGAGGACTTATTTCCACTGTAGGACATATCTTTAAGAATGGTCTTTTCCAACTCTCTTTATCCTAAACAGGAAATACTTTGCTGCTTAAGCTACAAACCAAGATGTTCTAATGGTGTCTTAGAGAACCGTCTCTGAGTACTAGGCAGATGGCACTTGTGTCGTAACTACTGGGTTCCTTCAAGGAGTACACCTTTTACTAAAGCATTCTTTCAAATAAAAATAAGTCGTGGAATTGCAAAAACTGACTATAAACACTGATTTTTAATAATGAAGACTATGGGGTTAGGAGATGGCTCAGTGACTAAAGACACTTGCTGCCAAGCCTGATGACCTGAGCTCGATCCCTAGAACCAACTAGCTCCAAGGTCAGAATGTACTCCACGTTGTCCTCTGACCTCTATATGTGTGTGTGCAAACCCACACCCACCATACATATCATACACAAGTAAACTGACGTAGGTAAGATATTTAAAAACCTAAATAAAACCTATAGGTTAGCAGATGGCTCAGCAGCTAAAGTGCTGACTGTGCAAGCCAGGCACTTTGCAGTCAACCCCCAGAGCTCACAGAAAGGTAGAAGGAGAAAACGAGCTCACAAAGTTCTTCTTTGATTCTTTGGCCTTCACAAGTGCATACCCTCCCTCATCTTGTACGCACAGTAATGATAATTAAGAAAATAAATAAGTGAAAGCACAGTCCTGTGTCCCCAGGGATTTTAATTCATTTGGACTGGAGAATCTGTACTTTCGATGTTTATATTTGCATTTTTATTGAGATGTAAGCTGTACAGCTTGCTACATTTTTGCCATAACCTATAATCCCATTGTCTCAAGTGCAATAGGAAACACTTGCCAGTTCCAAAAGTCCCCTGTGTTCCTGGCTAATGCCTTCCATGACAACAACTGACCTGCTTTCTGTCACTGTACTTTACTTTGCCTTTTCTAGAGTTTGTGTGACGAAGACATATATTATAATGCTTTTGTTTGGTGTTTGTCTGGCTGCTTTTCTCGATATAATTATTTTTGAGATGTTCCGTGCCGTGTTTATGAGTAGTTCGGTCCTTTTCATTCACAAGGATCTGTATTTTTAAGAAGTCTGCCATTAGCCTCTTCCACTAGCCAGGTGTGCAAGTCACCGATGGGGACGGAGCCTTGTCCATAGAAGTGAGGTATGAGACACCGGCTCATATGAGCTGCACTCTCAAAAGCTTCTCTTAAGGAGCTACCTCTCAGGAAAGCTAAATGTCAGGGGACAGCTTGCTGTGGCTTAGAGGAGGGCCCCCAGAATGCAAGTAGTCTGAGCCATGGTTGCAGCTCACGGTCACCACTTAGAAGATGCTTTAGACCCTGGAAAGCACTCAGTGTCCTTCCAGGGTCCTGGGACTCCCAAGTGTATTTCTGTTTATGATCACTTGTTTTCTTCCCAAGTCTTCATACTAATATTCCCCAACATGTGTGAATATTTTACCTCTCTATTTGGACATATCTTCAAAAGGGCCTTATTCCCAAAGATGTCTCAGCTTGGCCTTTTAGGAGCCTTTGGCCATGTTGAGATTTGTGGCTGCCCGGAGACCATGCTATGTCATCATCACAGAAGGGTCTTATTTCATTCTCAGTGTCCCTGGCCCCCTATGAGCACTGAGTTTGGATGAGAGCAGCTAAACTGGCTGCAGTACAACTGTCTGCTCTTACTCTGGACCCTTTAATCAGCTGATGTCGGTCAAAGTCCACAGGCTGAGGGCCACATGGATCTCTAGCCAAGTTGTGATTTCAGCATTTCTAAATCAGTGGAGACTGCCCTTTGCCTTTTGCCCTTCTGCTCACTGTGATGTCCCTCTGTCCATACAGGGGTTACTCTGTACAGCGATTTCCTAGTGTTTTCTTGATACCAGGGGTCAGATGGCCTCAGGCAATGATGCAGGTGCTCAGCTCATGTTTCATGGTTGTTTTGTTTTGTTTTGAAACTCAGTCCAGTACCGTCGTCCATGGAATGCCACACATGCCCATGAAGACTAGATCTTCTGTCCTCCTCAGATATATCTGCCTGGAAACACCTTCGTAGACACAGCCATGCCTAGACATGTCTCTTACTTAATTCCAAATTTAGTCCAATTGGCAATCGCAGCATCCTTTAATCCGAATCTGACAAGCTTATCCTCTTGTTCCCCAGCCAAGTCTATTCTTGTCTCTCCACACCCCACACTCCAGCCCTGCCCAGAGTCTGGGCACTTGTTTCTCTTGGAAGAGTCCCATCCTCACCTGGCTTTACCATGCTAGCCATTGCCACTGAGGACACAGAGGAGAATAGACTCCTGGGCCTATCCCACACCTATCCTGGATCTGAATTCTGGAGGTGTGTTCCTAGGGTCTGCATAGTATCCTGACCTCAGATCATTCTGATGTCATCCACTGTTTGAAATGCAGTGATTTTGTTGAAAAAAAAATGTCCATTTGATGAATTCTTTAAAATACTGCTGATAGCTGAGCCCATGAACTCAGGCTAAGTTACAAACTGTTCCCTGTTCACCTGGTGCTTTATCCATGTGCATGACATGTGAGAAGGTGGTAAACTAAAGTCTACATACATGTCACGTATTTCTTTGTTGTTTGAACATTGGAGAACACGCTAAATGTAAATCACGATAGTTATAATGTCACTTGGCGATATAGTTTTGCTTCCTCACAGTCAGAACCATTAGTGTACATGGCCGTCTCCAAATAAAATCACTAACTCTTAAACAAAACAAAACAAAACAAAAAAAACCAAGAAGCAAATTTTAGCAGAAAACCCCCACATAGATAAAGTTCATCTCTTAGGGGTAAGCCTTCTGGTCATAGCTGCTTTCCTAACCATTCAGTCAGAAATTCAGTCATGTGGTAAAGGAAGCCATAGTACAGTTGTAAATTTATCTTAAACAATTATTTGGAAATGACAAATAGACCTGGACTGGGGAGTAACCTGGTTTCTGAGGACCTAATTAACTCCCACAGCCTCTTATGTTATCTTATAAATTTCAGTGTTTACTAAGTTTTTTACCTTCCAAATTTTATGATTTTTTTTAGGTTGTTAAATACCATAAGCTTCAAGCTTTTGACTGGGGAAGCAGTGACAAGAATTATTTTCATTACAACCAGGTAAGACTTTTAATTAAAATGGGCTTTGAAAACTCACCATAGAAGTCAGCCTAGGCTTCCAGAACTCAGCTGGGCTCAGCTGCTGAGGGAATGTCCTTCCTTCCTTCCTT